TTTATTGCATAAAATTAAAAAGTACGCTTTTTACTTTATATTGTAACTTAGCAGCAGTTGCCTCTCGAAGTTAGTGTTTGAACGTTTCCATGCCAGAGTAGTGGCGCAAATCAAAATACGAAACATGCGCAGTGCGGAGTAGTGGCGCTAATCAAAATACAAGACATGCACAGTGTCCTTCCCGTGTATTGTTGTTTCACTGTTGATTCCCCCGATTAAAATACGTTTGCAGAGAAAAAAGAAAAACCACAACATCAGTAGTGCTTCAAGACACTAAGATGTAAGTGTTGAGTCACAAAGTACAAGCGCGTGCGTAAAGATAACTAGATATTTTTTCATTAAATGTATACGTGGCTATATTCGGGTCGTGACTCGCGAGAAAGAACGTATTCACAACTTTGTGCAAGACCAACTTGACACTCGAAATGTCGGAATAGACTATTTGGAAAGTGCAAGGAATGGCTAAATTGCACTCGTTCATTGATATAGTATTCGTAAAACACTGGAAAGTAACGACAAAAGTAACGTCGTTACTTTCATCGTTACCTCAGAAAAAAGTAATAGAACTACAGTTACAAGTTACATTTTTAAAAAGTAACTCGTTACAGTTACAAGTTACCAAAAAAGTAACAAAGTTACAGTAACGCGTTACTACCCAAGACTGCCAAAAGGAGGAACGGGGGAAACCAGGAGAGTGGGGCTGGAATCCCCCTCCCCCCCCCCCCCCCCCTCTTTTCGAACCGGCCGGGAGATTCGCCCACGGCCCCAGCCGCGTCTTACGGTCTCTGTGAGACGAAGTCTACTCATCACAAATGTCCCCGTAAATGTCCGGCAGGAAGCCACGGTTAGTGTTGCACACGGATGGGTCACGACAAATGAACCATGATTCAAGTAACTTCCTTGGGTCCCACCGCTGGTCTCGACCCCGCGGTCCAGGTCAAACGTGTGCCCCGTCATCCAGCAATGGTCGACAAGTTCACTCTCTCATCGTTTCGCGTGCGCGGCCTTGGCCACGTCTCTTTTGTGTTCCTTCAGTCTCGTTGTCCTCTTCCTTCCTGTCTCGCCAATGTACGTAGCATCGGAATCGCCGCACTGCACCTTGTACACCACCCCACTCTGGACGTTCGCAGGGGTGCGGTCCTTTGGCTTCGGGAGCACATTCGCCAGAGTGTAATGAGGTTTAAACACAGTTCGTATGCCCAACGGACGTAAGACTCTCCTTACTGCGTCTGACACGCCGCGAACATATGAAATAGACACAATCGATGCGTTCTTTTCCCGTGACAGACCCTCCCTACCCCTCTGTATGGGCTTCTGAGTATCGGCAATAAACGCCTTTGGATAGTGGCGTTCTTTTAAAGCGTTAACTACGTTGTTTAGTTCCAGCTTCCGGAGGCTCTCGTTTGAAGACACTGCATCGCAACCAGGTAAAAACGTTCTCACCACAGACCGCTTATCAACGTTAGCAAGCCGTACTCCCTTCTGGTGGAGGAGATTGTTATTTTTATTGCGGTCTTGCTTGAACCAAATCTACTTCATTTTTGCCAACGTGATTTATCATAAAAATGAAGGGTGTCCCAAGGGAAGTTCTGTTTCTGTTTCCGTGGCAAACTTGGTTATGAAGCATGTTGAAACACAGGTTTTGAGCTCACTGCCTTTTCCTGTTAAGAATTCTGTTAAGAGGGCCAACCTGCATGACTTCCACGCGGCGCTGAACAGCGTTCACCATACCATTCAGTTTACTTATGAGACAGAGAAAGGTGGTGTTTTGCCTTTTTTCTCAAGTTCAGTCTGAATTAACTAGCACCAGCTCGTTTTTGCCCAAAACTTCTCTTCATAAATCAACCCTTTTCCACATGTCTGCTCTCCACCTGTGGTCGAATATCTTTTCTACATCACACGTATTTCTCTGATAACATTCAAGAGACAAAGAAGCCTACAAACCCAAAATCAGTTTAAAAAGCTCAATAATCAGATACTACTCAGTTAGTTCAACACCTCCTAGATCGCAATGCTTTAGTGTTGCTGGATTCTACCCCCTCTCATAGGTCATCGCAAGACAGACTGGATAAAGTGCTGCATTAGCATTCAGCTGGAACACATATTCTCACCAACTGAACACGAGTTCTAGGCCAATTCTAAAATAGCACTGTCCACTTTGTACCCTGCACTGAAATATGATAATCGACAAAGAAAATCAAGTGCTAAGATATTGGTATTTAGGAGGTGTTAGGCAAGCTCAAAATTAAAGTGTCCTTTAAATGAAGCTATAGCAACATTTTGTGTCGTGATGACAACTGTTTATGGCATGTGCAAATTTATTTTTACGTGACTTGTTTTTATTTTTGTTTGCGGCTACTTCTGTTCCAAATTGACGATGCTATGTGGTATAACCCTATGCTTTATGTAAGATATTGTCATAAAATATAGTGTCTGTCATAACCAGAATTTATTGATGCAAAATTGAATGACAGCCAAGACGAGAATATTCCACCTTAAAGGGCCCCTGAAAAAAAGAAAAAATTTAACAGTTTGTAAGGGACACAAGTGTCAAATAAAATTTTACGCAAACACATTTCTGTAGGGCAATATTGACGGCGCGAGATCAATGTAAAATTCTGCGCGCAAAGTCCATGACGTCACGGAATGATAATACGCATTTTCCACCTCAATAAGATGGTCATACGTTTCTCCACCTCAAGGCGATGGCCAAGGCAATCCAACTCTCTTTCCCGTACCCGAAATGCCGAGAGAAAACAAGTGGAAAGGACGAGACTACCGACTAAATCGCGTCTCGCGTAATCACAAACTACTTCAGCAGTGACCCATGACCTCTTGTTTTTCTTTGTTTGCTGCATATTTAATATTGTTGACTTGTTATTACACAACTATCTTTATATTATGTAGATATTACATAACATGTATTATGTATTATATTATCTAGAAAGAACCCTCAGGGCCTTCGGGCCCTGAGGGTTCTTTCAATAAATAAATTAATTAATTAATAAATAAATATTGCTCTATATTATTTTTTTTATTCGTGTAACTTTTTTTTTTTTGACACGCGTGTTTTATTTAGATTGTTTGAAAATGCTCAAAGCCCAAAGCAAACACCACTATCAAATGACAACAAGCATGCAAACAAAAAAAAAAAGAAACATTTTATACGAAGTTTACAAGTGCAGGTTTCAACAATACAAAACACATTTCGAACCACGAGCACAAGAGAAGTTATACACAGGGCGAAACCAAAATCCGAAGTGAGGATCTCAAAAGCAAAAGTATTACAAGACAAAACACCTCCACACTGGGCTCTATAAACAAGTGTATCGTTGCACAGTTCAAGTTCAATTCCGATTTGGTGATCCCCGACCATAGTTGAAACTATAAACCGTGCCGCGGAACCGACCAGCATCGGCCGAAACATAGAGGGCCGAAAGGCACTGGAAAGCCGCAGAGAAAGTAAAAACATAAAGTAATACTTAAATAAACGCGCGCGAGCACGACTTCGCGGCACCGCTCTATTTCGTGGACCCGTGCTCCTACAAGGTTCCGTCGACTTTTTTTTTTTTCTTTTTTTCATCACGGGGATTGCAGTATTGATTTAATTTCGTTCGCCGCAGGCCTACCTCAACTAAAGCGGGCTTGCCCAGGCGACTCTGATATGCCACAAATCAATTCGCGATCGCCGCTTTCAAACAGTCCGCACTACGCGCCGAAACCCCTCTCTCCGCTCGGAGAAACTTTAATATTGATTGAGAACATGTTTATTTACGCATACCGGGCACCTTTCACCTAACCGCTCATTCACACCGGAAGCGGATCCGTGTTCGCAAAGCGGTTGCGAACGCGGTTGTATAAAGACCCAGTACAATTGCACGCGCACCCGATGACATCAATTGTACTGGATCCACTGATCTTTATTGTAGTAGGCTGGACCGCTGATCGGGAGCCAGTCGGTGTCGCCACCGGTGGCCATTGCTTGACACCAGGCAATACACGCAAGTCTATGGGAGAAACGCACAAAAGCAAGCATATCGAAGCATGTACGCTGTGCTCGGAGGTGAGTATTTTATGGTGTGCTGCGATCCTTATGTCGAGTGTTTGGAGATCGAATCGGTGTTTGTCAAAGGTTTGGTCACCGATCAAAAAAATCAAACGTACCGGAGCACCTACGGCTGAGCTGGCAAGCTTGCTCTCGTAGTGGAGTACACAACGGAACTTGCCGTCAAAGAGGCCGTCTTCGGGGAAGCCCAGAAGTTGATGAATGACAAAAAACTTCCATTTCGACAGCGACTTTCCGGGAGTGAGCGAATTCCGCGTAGCAAGCTCTTCAAACTTGTCGTCTGCTAAACCCAACTCAACGAAACCACCACCGACTCTGCGGTAACTCTAGCTAACTCTCGCCTCATTGATCTGCACTACAGCGGAGTCACTCTCGACCGCAAAATACTTTTTCATGAGAACTGCGAGGGGGCTGTCAGTTTTAATGTTTGTACGCAAGCTATTTGACGGGCTTATCGAAAAGCAGCCAAAAAGTTTCAATGCCGACAACAGCTTAGAAACGGGGGAAACGGCACTTTTTCTCGTTCTTCCCATAGAGCACCATGCATTGTTGGCGCCAACTGTTGAAGACGAAGAATGAATCGTTTTGTTTTGAATCGCAATGGCGGGACGCACACATGCTTTTGCGTATCTCCGTCTTTTTCTTTGCCTGGTGGCATTAGTGAGCCTTCGCAGGAGTGGCCTTCCGTCGTCAACAGCGTCGACAGAGCGTGGAAATCGGGTGGCCCATTTGTGGACAATAACAGCTTCGCCAAGCACCGCTACCTGTAAAGGCGAACTGTTGTGGTGGGCAGGCGTTAGGCCTAACGGCCGGCCTTTATCCGCTGGCTCAATCCGCCGTCAACCGCATCTCATCTGGCTCCTTCTCATCGCCGGTGACGTGCCCCCCAATCCTGGTCCACGGCCCACCTGCCCTCGCTGCTCCCGGTCGGTGTATGACAACGTGGCCGCACTTCAGTGTGACGGTTGTGACTTCTGGCTACACCGAAAATGTGAGGACGTATCCTTTGCGTCGTATCGCCGCTTCTCCTCATCATCGTCAGAGTGGCTCTGTGCTGCCTGCCAACTTCCGCCCTTCGCCGACGACTTGTTCCCGTCCGAGCAGAGCCGAGTCGTGAACTCCAACACCAGCTCCTCCGAACAACCGGCAGTGCAGGCTTCCCCCGTGACCATCGTTTCCCCACCGCTTCCCTCTCCTCCGTCGGCGGCCAAGAACACCAATCTGGGAATATGGTTTTCGAACGTGCGCTCGCTGAAAAACAAACTGCTTGACTTCCACACTCTTCTCCTATCCTATCCGGACACAGTATTTGCAGTTTGTGAAACTTGGCTTAACCACTCAATACCTGACGGGCTTCTTGTGGATGTGGAAAGTTTTACTATCTTCAGGAAGGACCGAGCCTCGAATGGAGGAGGTCTGCTGGTGGCGATACCCTGCCACATGACCTGCCGGAAACGCCAGGACCTGGAGCATGAGCACCCTGAGGCTGTATTCGTCGAGGTGAATCACCACCAGGGAAAAGTGCTGATCTGCTGTGTTTACTGCCCCCCAACCTCACAGTCTACATCCTACGACCTCCTCGGCAACTCCCTCAGGCGGGCTGGAATGGGCAATTACCTGAATACTTGTGTGCTGGGAGATTTCAACGCGCATATCGACTGGACGGATCCATCTGCTCCCATCCCATCGGCCCCCTGTGGTGATATGCTACTTGATATCATGGAGACCGGCGGGTTCCTTCAAGTATGTGTGGAGCCCTCCTATATTTCACACTTTGGGAAAACGTCCTTCCTAGACCTGGCCTTCATTACCAATCCAGCACTTGTATCGAGCTGCTCCCTTGAGTCCAGTCTCCCTGGCTCCGACCACCACGCAATTTATCTCGAGAGCCTACTCAAGCCGCCAAAATCTGATCCGCACGCGAAGCGAATCCAGCAATTCTCGAAGACTGACGGAACGCACCTTCAGAACCTGCTGCACCTTGTACCCTGGTCCCTGGTGACTGATGAACCTTGTATTCACGATGCCTACGACCTTTGGTTAGATCTCTTTTCGGCCATAGAAGCAGAATGTGTTCCCACAAGGATGACGACTGGCCGGCAGCGACCATGGATCACTCAAGATATCATTCGGCTCTCCCGTAAGAAACGCCAGTCATTCAAGAAAGCACGTAGGACAAAAAATCCACTCCACCTAAGCACAGCGCAGCAAGCACAGAAAAGTCTGAAAAAACTAATCTACTCTGCACACTGCTACTCTGCACTATATGGAGTCGATTGCAGAGAAAGCCATCCATTTCCCAAAGCTTTTTTGGGCCCATGTAAACAATAAAAAAAAAATCATCCTCCCGTCCTCAATTCTTAGTTCACGGAAGCCAGGTAATAGAACCCGGGGCTATAGCGGAACTTTTCAGTGACCACTTCTCATCGGCTTGGACCAGCCCTGGCAACCCCTCACTTCTACCCTCCAACACGCCTCGTTGTAGTTCACCATTTGCATCGTTCGATGTGCGGGAAAAAGACGTTGCAGAAGCACTGCAGCGTATAAACCCATCTCAGAAGGCTGGACCTGATGGCGTGCACTCAGCTTTCCTGAGGATGTACTCCAACAAACTCAGCCCGATCCTAGCAAAACTTTTCACGAACTCTCTTCGTGCCGGCTCTGTCCCCCGACAATGGAAGGCTGCCCAAGTCACCCCGATACACAAGGGAAGCGGGCTGTCCAAGTCACTCGTGTCCTCGTACCGGCCAATATCAACTACATCTATTGTATGCAGAACAATGGAGAGAATAGTTAACCGACATTTACTGGAACACATTGAGCGACACCAGCTGCTTTCCTCGCACCAACATGGTTTCCGCCCCGGCCGGAGCTGTGAGCTAGCTCTCGCAACCGCGGTTCACACCATCAGCAGTTCCTTAGATGGACGTACACCATGCGAGCTCGTCCAACTCGACTTCAAGCAGGCCTTCGATAAAGTTGACCACTCCATCCTATTGCAGAGACTCTCCGACATCGGATTATCCGGCAACCTGTTGGACTGGGTAACGTCCTTCCTGCTTGGTCGTACCCAGCAGGTAGTCTTCGGCGGGCAGAGGTCTAACACCGCAGAGGTCGTGTCAGGGATTCCTCAGGGTAGCGTCCTAGGCCCTACCCTCTTTAACATCTTTATCGATGACATCATCCGGGTCTTAGGTTGTACGCCCCTTCTTTATGCCGACGACCTCACCCTCGTGCAGCCAATCCGTCGCCCCCTCGATCACCAACTACTCCAAACGGACCTGGACAATGTTGTCGCCTGGTCGGGAAAAAACAGACTTCCACTGAACTTTGCCAAGTGCACTGTGATGCAGATATCCTCATTTAGGCAGCAGCGTTCCGCACTCCCCTGCTACAACCTCGACGGAGTGAACATTTCCAGAACGACCAGCACCAAGTTGTTAGGTGTCAAACTGGACTGTCGATTCAGTTTCGGCACTCACATTGCCGAAGTGATCTCCCGAGCTCGAAGGATGCTGGGTTTTGTTACCCGTGTCTCAAGAGGGGCCGGGTCAAGAACACTGAGGCACCTCTACACCGCACTGGTGCTGCCGCACCTTGAGTATTGTGCCGCAGTCTGGGACCCCCCTCAGGCCACCTTATTTGCTTCTCTTGAAAGTGTGCAAAGACGTGCCGCGTACACTATCTTGCGGTGGCAGACCCCTCATGTCCCCCGGTACCGGGACATAGCTACGGATGATCTGCTGGCACGTGTGGGTTGGAACTCTCTGGCCCTGCGCAGGAAAATCTCCTCGGTCCGGCTTTTGGCAACCTGCCTCCTGCCAGAGGCTCCCGAGGTTCCTCTTGCTCGGCAGCTGCGGCTGAACCGGAACGGTGGCCTTCAACCACCCTTTCCCCACACTGACCGGCACCGGAATACCTTCGTCATCAGGGCAGTAAATCTGTGGCGGTCCCTGTCATCAGAGCTGACAGCGGGCCTGAGCGAGAAAGAAGATATAAGACCCATCTGCAGGGGGGCAATACCGCACTTGCGGTCCTAAGCAGCACGTAGCCGAGTGTTGTTTTGTTTGCTGTTTTTTTTTGTTTTTGTTTTTTTGTCGCTTATGTAACTGCGGCACCACAGACCTCCTGGTATGGGCTCCTCGCCTTTTGTGGTGTCGCAACTCTTTCCGAGTTGAATAAATATTATTATTATTATTATTATTAATCAATGGCCACCGGTGGCGGCACTCGGCCCCAGCTGCCGAGGCCGCGGTCCAGCCTATAATAGAGATGAGTGACTGGATCTTTATACAACCGCGCTCGCAACCGCTTGCGAACGCGGATCCGCTTCCAGTGTGAATGATCGCTAAGAGCGGAAGGGTGAAACGTTACTCTCGAGGCATGAACTGGCACCAGGCCTCATACGAACCGCCACGGTTTCGTCAAGCTCGCATCACCTTGGTCGCCGGTACCTTCACGCCGGCGACCGAGGCGATCTGCCGGTGTAGCATCGTTTGTTTGATGAACTGATTGCCGCCGGGCATAGTTTTGAAGTGCTAGGCCTCGTTCGCACGCTAACATGGGCCAGTGCGCGCCCGACCGCGTCAGAGAGCGAGCACCTATCATACAGGGTATACATATAATCCTGCAACTTTATGAAGTACGCTTTGAAATGCCTATAACATTTCTACTGCTCTGCAAGTAGCCAAAGCAATCAAAACTCACCGTTCAATCGGTAGCCACTCCGAATGCACCCGACGAGGCATTCACCGCACCACCACAGGTCAACCGTCACCGCTAGTTCAAACTCAGGCGCGGGACCGGAAGTTGGAGAGTAGGTAGTCTCACAGTGAAATCATAATGTGGGTAGTCTCGTTACCGGCGCCTCCGCGTCGCTCGTATTCCGTTCACATGTTTTTCGCGGACAGAAACATTACTAAGTATGCGCGTGTAGTCACAATTTCCAAATCCCGTGGCCAAAATCTTGTCAAGGCTTCTTTCCAAAATAGCTACTCGAGTGATGCTTCGGCCACTTCATCGAAGGCTTGCGGCAGCCATTATTGACGAGGGGACTAAGGTATTCATTAGGGGAGCGACTCCAGTGGGAGCAACGAAATGCCCGCGGGACGAACTGCTCAAGCTACCGCTACTGAAAGAGGGCGCCAGGGTCGTGGGGATAAAAGATGGCAATTAATCCCTTTACGCACCTTTTTTTTTTCTTTTTTTTTTTTAAGAGTGTATTATAGTTTTCTTTATACTGACAAAGCCTGGCCGATCGCCACGAGAAGCGGCCGCCGAAATGGAAAAGGTGGGGCGGCAGACAACGGTTGAGAGGAGACCCACATGACTGGCGCGCAGCTGCGGCGAGATGACGAAACACACTTCTCTCAAGTGAACTAGTGTGTTTCGGGTCCTCGCCGCGGGCAAAAGCTGTGCGCTGGCGTCCAGGAAATGGATACAGTGGGCACTGCTTGTGGAGAGGAGGACGAGACGGCTGAGCACTTGATACTCTACTGTAAAGGGCTTCACCCTATGCCTACCGAAGACAACATAGATTTAATAAAGTCATTGGGTTTTAGAGACAGCGAAGGGAGAGTGGATTTCAAGACTGTAGAGATTACCAAGCAAAGATTAAGTGAATGGTGGCAGAAATCGAGAGAAAACTAGGTATTTTCTTATCCACTGATGGCAAGGGGGTTTCATAGCCTCACTTTCTTTGCACTGCGGAGTGAATATAGATTTCACATTCAAATATTCTAAGCTTAAATAATAAAACAAAATCGGTAGGTGGCGTAAGCTACCGCCCGATCCAAAGGGCTCAGCCGGGTTCCTCCATCCATCCATCCATCCCGAAAAGTGGCTTTTTGATGTTTTGTGCTACCAGATTCTCGAGCTACAAATCTGCGACCGGACACTCTGTGGCTCCATCGTCGAACTGCCAGGCTTTGTGAGTATAGAGGGGGCGATAACAGTACGTTCCAGCTTATCTGTTCTTGATTTTTTTTCGCGTGGCATCTGCGAGCAAGGCGAGTGAGCGTCATGACGCACAACTACATCGCGACTTAAAAACATATTCGCTTTGGTGGGCCAGGTGCACCGAAAAACTTAAAAGCTACTAGACTTTTGAAGCGAAATGACGGGAACATACCTGGACAAGCTTGACGCGTGCCAATCGAGCGACTGCCTCCAGCCAAATGACTCGCAAATTCTTACCTGTGTTGGTACCTCCTCGGTATTAAAACCATGGTTTTTAATCACGATGGTTAGACAATTCACGAGGCAGCGGAGCCGCTTTTACGGGAACCAACATCTGTTTTCAGCATCGACTCACGCAAACGAACAAATCAAGCCAGATGGTTGACGTGGGACACTATAGGCTTGGTCGAGTCCCGCTACGAAAAGAAGCACGCGGACAGCACTTCCGAAAGCCCGCACCTGCGACAGTTGTTTGCTGCAAACTACGTCGGTCGATGAGATCTTCCTTTAAACACCTCGGTGAACAGAAAACGATTCGCAATCATAAAAATAAACGAGCTCGACGAGCTGCACTTGTTGATCACTCCGTGGACGCCGGCAGCCATGTTTGTTATCGTTTCAAACCAAAGCGGAAGAAGCGATCTTAGAACTCTTTTGAAACCAATAATGACTCTATCTAGATTATTTGTTTCCCGAACCTAAAAAAAGAATGTTGATAAAAATGCTATTACGGCACGGACATACAATTTTACAACCACCCTTTTACACGTCAATCATCTCTCCAGCCAATTAGAGATGTAAGCACGGGGCGGGACTTCGCTGGCTGAAACCTCCACCTTCTGCATCTACAGGTATACATTGCGTCTAGCGGCGTAAATATTACTCAGAAATATTTATTTTCTGTTGTAATATTTTTTTAATACCTGTCCCAACTAAGCCTTAGAGGAAAAAAATATTTTGTTTCATTTCAGCGTCCCTTTAAACTGCAATCGACTCTAGCGTTGCCTGTTTCTAGACATCGTATGCGCCTCGAACGTACACAAATGCTGGTTTGCGAGACGCCATTTTTATGTTTGGCTTATACGCTGCCTGCAAAGCGTCTCCGACTGGTGTGTTTAGCGTCCTATTCTGCCCATGCACCGAAGATGGTCCCCAAGTGCCAACAAATTTCAAAATGACGTCACAAAAGCCGGAGTGTTACGCTGCCGGATGTCGCGATCCTGGTGGTCGGTGGTAGAAGTTCCGGCAAAATGCGGGAGCAAACACGAGTGTCGCTTCCGTCGCTGCGTCCCAACTTCTGGCTGCCGAAACTTCCGTCGCAGCAGAAAAGGCGTCTGCGAAATTCCTCATTGGTGTTGTGAACCGCAAACAGGCAGCACAGGCACCATGAACCGGCAGAACAGGAACCATGCCTTGAGAGCGCCTCGCCGTTCCCTTTGATGTTCTCGTTGACGTTCTCTCAGGACGACGTTTGAAGGGCCGACCCGGCCCTTCAAACGTCGTCCTGGGCAACGTAGAAAACGATGCGTGTGTCCGTTTTTTTATTTTATTTTATTCTTTTTAAGTTGGCGGTGTCACAGGCGTTTCTCGAAATAGCGAAAGGAAAGGGGTCTTTGAGCTGTGTTGCCTGGCCTTTCGGAATGCGTCGTCGCCGCTATAACGAGAAATGCCATGCTCCAAATATTCTTCGCATTGTTCAATCAATTTCCAGGTGAGCCTCAACTCCTCGTTTGTAGTACTTTCGCCGCGAAGAAACAAGGAACGCAGGTTCGCGAACAAACGGGATTATTGATGAACCACACGATGATTGCTGCGAATCTGAAATTGTAACTTTTTTTCATCAAGGCAGATTTATTATACGTCGCGCAAAATGAAAAAAAGAGAAAGAAAAAAAAAACGTTATGCATAAACAGTTTTCAGAAAATAACTTAGAATTTTGTCTGGCGGGCGATTTTTCCGACTTTGCGGCGGTTTTCATTATTTTGTGGACCTCGCAAACGTTTCAGGTTAATAATAATAAAAAAAAGTTAAAAGACAAGAACTGTACAAGCTTTGCTCCCTTTTGTTTAATGCTGTCAGCTTTTTGAGTTTGAAATAGTTTCAACCTTTTTTTTTGTACGAGATTGGACGCCCTCGCGTGATTAATGCGCATAGATAAATTAAATACACCCGAACCTTACAAAAAAGCTAAGCCTAAAAACACCAAAAACTAAACATACATAAATTAGCTGAATAAACAGAGCTGTACTCTCCCACGGGATGAAAATCGTTATACACCGAGAAAACTGTGACAAAAACGAGCAGACGAAAAAGCAGGCATTCAGAACGTTAAGCTCTAATTGTAATGGTTAGTGCACGCAAAGCTAGCAGCTGCCTTTGTGTATGCGGGGGGTAAGTTCGTCTGCTTCTTGCATTGGTGTGGCGATGATATCAGAACGCAAAACTCTTACTGGCTGATTGAAAAAAAAAAAAAGAAAAAAATAGTGGGTAGGCCTTAAGGCACCTAGCATTGCGGTCTACCCTCTATCCTTTCCATCAAACCCAATCAGAGCTCGGTTCCATGCTGACGTCACCGCTACTCCTGCGCGTGTAGCAGACGACTTGTTCTCCACATATACTCACTGCTCGACATCGTTCGAACGCGAACGCCCAATCCCGGACGCCGGCGTTCGCCAATCGAGCGTGTCCGAACGCTGAGTGAAGACGAAGGCAGCTAGATTTGCGTCTATAGCACTAGACATTCGAGCTAGAGCTCGGTGTTCTGACATCTCCACGCACTCTCGCCTCGTCCTCTCTCTCAGTTTTCCGCCGCATAGTCGATGACAGAATGAAAACGCCAGGGCGTCCGTCTCGCCGTAACCTCCTCTATACTCACAAAGCCTGGCACTTCGACGCCAGAGACATAGAGTGCCCTGTCGCAGATTTGGAGCGTGGGGATCTGGTAGCACAGAGCATCTCTCGGGAAACCTGGACGTCAGCGCACAGCTTTTGCAGCGGCGAGGACCCGAAGCACACTCGATCGCTCGGGAGAAGAGTGTTTCTGCGTCTCGCCGCAGCGGGGCGCCAGTTACGTGGCTCTCCT